AGTTATTACGCGTTCAAACATTCTTTGGTTTTCTACCTCATATCGTGCTGTCCCGGAGCCTCATGAGTGTCTGAATATCATGAACAGCTCAGAGCCCCCCCCCCCACCCCCCCCCCCCTCCCAAGAATGTTGCATGTTGATTTCGCAATAACTCAAAAATCGTTGGCGCAGTTCAGCGACAGGGAGGGGAGGGGGAAGAAAGTCGCACTTTTGCTACCTCCCAACGACGTGTCAAGTTATAGAGACCCATTACATGAGCTTTTGAGAGTTGACAGGTTTTACCATGGTGGCTCGACGAGCTTGCTCCAGCTTCACAAGAGTTCACAGGTTTCACCAGAGTGAGACTTGTAAACCGGAACTAGTGAAGCAGTGAAAGTGCAAAATGCCCACCCTCCCCCCCCCCGTCGCCGAACTGCGCAGAGAAACTCTGAAGTTTCTGTCAGTCAAAAGTTTTTTCGAATATTTCGGCGCCCACCATCCTCCTCAGCGAGCTGAAGTGCGTCCAATAGCGTGGGTTATTAAGACTAACGTTACCTTCGCCTCCCAAATGGGTATGCTTGCTCTTAGCGTGCAGAAGTCTTCCGGAAAATCCACACTGTAGTAACTTTTCACTCCATTCATTTTGTTGCATCTAATCTTCGAATGTTGACTAATCAAATGACTCCACGTTTTCCCTATATGGATTTTTCCAGCGTTCTGAAAGTTATTCTTTGCAGATGCGCTGTCTCATACTTCTGGTAGCCGTGGGAGCGGTACTGGCTCAGTACGAGTCCGAAAACTCGGGTTATGAGACAGCCGAGAAAGAACAACCTCCACCACCACCAATGTCTTCCGATGGAGGCGATCAGCAAGGATATAACAGCGATGGAGCATTGCCATCACCTGGAGGAGGCGGTGGCAGACCTCGACCTCCTCCTCCTCCACCACCACCTCCAGGAGGAGGTGGTGGTGGTGGTGGAGCAGGAAGACCACGAGGAGGAGGACCAGGACGACCAAGAGGAGAACAAGGAGGAGGGCGACCTCGTCCACCACCGTCACCAGGTACAGGCCGAATACCACCTCCAAGAACATCACCTCCAGTACCAGCACCATCGAATCCACCAACAGCACCAGTTCAACCTTCACCTGGGACATATGCCGGGGGTGGAACACCGCCTCAACCCGGAGGCTACACCGGTGGAACTTCGGAGGTGGGAATCGAAAATCCCGGTGTGGTTGGAGGGAGGATCTGGAGGATATGAAAGTGGGCCCCCTCCAAGACCTCCCCCAGGACCAGGACCCAGCCCTGGCCCAGGACCTCAGCCTGACGGATACTCAGGAGGAGGATCGCCACCTCAGCCCGGAGGCGGTGGAACTTCCGGAGGTGGAGGAACATCCGGTGGTGGTGGAGGAGGATCTGGAGGATATGAAAGTGGGCCCCCTCCAAGACCTCCCCCAGGACCAGGACCCAGCCCTGGCCCAGGACCTCAGCCTGACGGATACTCAGGAGGAGGATCGCCACCTCAACCTGTAGGTGGAGGAACATCCGAAGGATATGAGGGAGACGATAACGAACCTGCTCCAGGACCAGGACCTCAGCCCGGAGGTTACTCAGAAGGAGGATCATCGTCTCAATCGGGAGGTAGTTCTGGAAGCGGGCCGGCACCGGGAGGATATGATGGAGATGATAGTGGACCTGCTCCAGGACCAGGACCCAACCCAGGCCCAGGGCCAGGACCTCAACCTGGAGGCTACTCCGGGGACGGAGAACAACCTGGAGGATATGATGGGGGTGATGACGGACCAGCTCCAGGACCAGGACCCCGCCCGGGACCAGGACCCAGCCCAGGACCTGGGCCTGGACCTCAACCAGGAGGCTACTCTGGCGGCGGAACACCACCAGAAGGATATGATGGGAGGTGATGACGGACCCCCTCCAAGACCAGGACCCAGCCCAGGACCAGGACCCAGCCCAGGACCAGGACCCAGCCCAGGACCAGGACCCAGCCCAGGACCAGGACCTCAGCCCGGAGGTTACTCAGAAGGAGGATCATCGTCTCAATCGGGAGGTAGTTCTGGAAGCGGGCCAGCACCGGGAGGATATGATGGAGGTGATGGAACCTGCTCCAGGACCAGGACCCAGACCTAGCCCAGGACCAGGACCCAGACCTAGCCCAGGACCTCGACCAGGACCAAGACCGAATCCATCGCCAGGACCAACACCCGGAGGATATGGAGGGCCACCTCCACCACCTGCAGGTGGCGAAGATGACTCGGTGAGTTGTTGATGACTTGATGATAAACTAATAACTTATAAAGAAAGCATCATTGCAGCAATATCAATCAAACGCCAGTTATCAGCAGAATGAAGCCAAGAATCCAGCACCATCCATGAGTGCTAGTGGAAACGATGGTCTCGCTTACAGCAATGTTCTTCGTGCTCGCCGTTAAGAGCTTAAATGTGACGGTGTCTTAATCTTTCGGTAATTTACCTTAAGCCGGGTTTAATAAAGCATATTGCTCTCACTAGGCTGACTAGGCTCTAGGAAAAGTCCTGGACAAATCTTAAATGAAATTTCAAACGTGCCCTTTGAAGGCATAAAATGAGGCACGATAATTGGGTGCCTGCTCAAGAATAGTATCAGGGGTACTGTATAAGATGACAGTGGAGAAAAAGCGTAGTTACACGGCCCAAAAACAGAACCTTTGCTCTGCGCGGCACTCGAGAGACAAAGTTTCCCCGGCTGGCGCTGTGCCAGCAATCGCTTTGATGAATGAGACTACACGTTTGTATTCATATGTCCATGTAGCAACGCTTTACTTCATGAATGAAGCCGGGGAGCGCAAATGATGCCGGCGGCGAGGTGCTTGCAGTGGTCCGTTTGAGTCGGCACAACTAACTTCAAGTATTCACCACCCACGTACTGCAGTCCAAAGCGGCGCTAAACTCATTGCATTCCGCGGCGGACCTTCTTATAACACCGTGTTTTACGCCAGTACCACTATGAGAATTGTACTGAAATGCTTGCTTATAATGCTCTGTTCAAGGATGGACGGGAACTTCAAGCACATTTCACTTGAGCTTTCTTTCGCCTCGGCATAGAGGTTCTACATTTTGGACATATGCGTAGCATTACGTACATTTAGCTCACTGCACTTATTAATAGCTATTTGCAACTGGAGTATTATGACATGAATATAATGAGCCGAATTACCTTCAACTGTAGCACTATTCAGATATTATTATCTCAGAAGGCTCAAGGAATTTTTCGTGGAACTTCGTCCATGAGGGTTCCAATCACGAGTACGAGATACTTTTTTGACGTTGCCCACTGAGCACACCGTTTGACGCTACCACTTTTCTCCAAAAAATCGATGTAAACTTGCCCACTGGAGTTATTCGGTACCCTGATCACGAACATGATAGTGATTTTTAGCCCTGTCGCCATCTTTCGATACAGCGCCAATCAGCGCTTTTAAGCGTCAGCCTGTCGACCGCCGACACGTCGTATCGCTGAGAATGACATTTCGTACAAAACAGTTGAGCGCGCCGGTTTGGAGCAATTACAGTGCACATTCAATTCGCTTTGGACTTTACGTCACCCTATGGCGAGACGGAGAAAGCATGAATGAAATGTGCACGAAGTTCCCGTCCTTGAACAGTGCGTTATATGCAAGTGTTTCAGCACAATTCTCGTAGTGGTGCTGGAGTAAAGTACGGTGTTATAAGTACGTCCGCTGCGGAATTACAATCAATTGGGCGCCGCTTTGGGTTACGGTACCGTGGCGGTAATACTGAAGTAGGCTTCTTGTCTAGCATGTTGCTGTTAATTAAGCGCTATAGCTATGTTTCTGGTTAGAAAAGGCTCCACGCAGCGCCTGCTGTGGGACGGTTCTTTCTTCTCTGTGCTAGGCGTATCGATGGGAAGATTTTCCATCGATAAGGCAGCGCCCAGACTTCGCGACGACAGCGTTTCGGTCACGCGTTCGGCGCGATCGATGCCGTCTAAATCATGCGCATCGATCGCGTTGAATCACGCGACCGCGCGACCGAAGCGGTGACATCGCGATGAACGCTGCCTAACCTTTCAACAAGTTCAAAGTGCTGATGTGATAGAGTTTGCCTGTAGATTACAACTCATGGTAAGCGACTCCTTATGCATCTGCAACTGCGGACTTCTTTGAAATACCGCGGAATGTTTGCGTCATGTATTCTACATGCCCCGTTTTTGAGCTAAGGCGACCTCCAGTATGTACCTCAGCTGTGAACTTGAACACCTCGAATACACGTAAACCGGTAAGCAAACATCCAGCATGACAGCGCTAGAGCACAAATTGTAGAGACAAGGAATAGTGAAGCAGTGACTAGCAATTATTATAGCTTCGCCCGGCAAAACCCGCGATCACCCGCGACCACAAATATTATTAGATGTTGTGATTAGAGGTTCGCATATAAACGACAAGGTACTGAGTAACTCGACAGTGAAGAATAAAAGCAGAAATAAACTATGCCGCCTGCCCGGAACAGAAGCCTATTTCGATCTTAGCTTGAATGTGCTCAATGAAATCATTCTCCAACACTATGCCCTTATCCGCACAGCTGATTCCTCGATAAGAACTCTACGACCGTACAAGTGACGATTTTCATGCTTTTTCGTCCTGCAGCTTCGTTTTCCACTGAAAGGCGGCTTGAAGGCGGAGTCTGGAGGCGGAGTCACTGGAAAAAAGGAGGCGTCACTGAACCTATATGCGCTATAA